TGCCACCACACCCAGCTAATTTTTGTATTTTTAGTAGAGATGGGGTTTCACTATGTTGGCCAGGCTGGTCTTGAACTCCTGACCTTGTGACCTGCCTACCTCGGCCTCCCAAAGTGCTGGGATTACAGGCGTGAGCCACCGCACCCGGGCTTATTTTTCATTTTTTTGTGGAGATAGGGTCTTGTTATATTGTGCAGCTTGGTCTTGAGCTCCCGGGCTCAAGCAGTTCTCCTACCTTGGCCTCACAAAGTGCTAGGATTACAAGCATGAGCCACTGCGCCAGCCATGTATACATTTTTATTTAGCTTTCTTCAAATTCTCAAAAGCATCTGTACCACAAAAAAGAGTAAGAACTTCTATTTTTATTTCAGTTCTCTAAGGTGGCAGCTTCTGACTCTGTGCTTTGGCTTTCACCAAATGCTTTCACATTTCTATTTTCGTATGTTTCAAATGTGTTTAAATGGTTTAACTCATTCTTTTCAACACTCAGAAAATACTTCGATGACTTCTCCCTTCTAAAATGATTTCAGATATGGATTCATGGAAAATGAGAGGCTATAATGCAGAGAATTGTCACCTCTATAACAAATGCCACAACTCGAGATACTCAGTAGCGATTCTAAGATTGTGTGGTTGTTTTTTCTGGGTCCCAAAAAATTATATAAGCACAGAAGCTGTTATGGAGGGAATGGAAATGGGCATAGAAGTACTTGACAATAAACATAAGTAGGCAAAGTTCTGCTCCACCAACTCAGAACAATTAACAAAATGCAACCATCAGTGCCTGACTCTGGTGCCTTTTGCAGAGATACCTCAGTGGCTTTGCTCTTGGAGGCCTGGGATGACGTGTCATCCTCACTCTCATCTGCTGTGCTCTCCTGGGAATTTTGGGACTTAATCTCTTCACCCTAAATGTGAATGGACCAAGAAAATTGTGGGTTATAATGACCACATTTAGGGTAATAGGGGAGAAGGTTGAGTTTACAGGCAATACAAAGGAAGATATTCTAGCCATTCAAAACACAGTTAAACATGGATACCAACTTGTGATTCAGCATCTAGAGGAGGGATACTCAACTCCAGGTTTCTGAGATGTCTGTGGCTCTGATATAAAAAGTAATGTAACAAAAGGTTCATCTTGGTATGCTAGCATCACACTACATTTTAAAAGGCTAGATTGTACTGGTGACTCTAAGTTGATGCTGAACATGGTTCTAAAATTTCCCAAATACCTTAAAGTATATAAGCACCATTACACCAACTACGAAAGGCCATGCAGAGGCTAAAGGACAGTACAGTGAAGTGTTTAAGAGCATCAAGTCTGGATTTAGGACTGTTTGGACTCAAACCGTGGCTCCACTCACTTTCTGTTGAATGACATTAGGTAAATTACTTAACTTCTTTGAGTTTCAATTTTTACGAAGAAACAATAGTATCTGCCTCATAAGGTTGATGTGAAGAAAGGAAGTTAATTCTCTGTGCTATTTTATATATTTCATATATAACTGACTATAAGACTCAGATATTTTAAGCATGAAAGAAAAGGGCTTATACGACCCTATCTGAAAAATGTTGTAACTCCAAAGTAGTATTATAAACAACACAAGATTTCAGCTAATCAGACAATTAAAAAACCTTATAAATGCTCATTAGTTAAAATTAGAGATTAATTTATAATTTCCGGAATAAGACAGATTGGCTTAGTATAACTAAACAAAAGAAATGTTTGTCCCTATACAAAAATGTTATTATGAATCTACCCTCAGTGGGGCTTAAAGGAGCCCCTCTGGCTGTGGAGAGAGGTTTGTGCTGGTCTGACTCCTTTATGTCTGAGGCATTGTTTGTATCAATGGCATGTTTTGGTGCCTTGCTGCCTAAGATGAGGGGTATAGCCTGTGACTAGGGCCCATGAGCAATGTATCATAACTTTAAGAGTTCAACAGTCACAGACTTAAGAGAAAAGTAGCCTTACTGAGAGACCAGGGCTTAGGTGAACTGCCTTACATGCCATCTGATGCTGTCACAAAGAATAAGATTGGAGAATTATCACTAGCAGGATCCAAGGCTTACCTGCAAGTCCCGGTTTTTTAGATTGCCCAGCCAGAAAGCCTCTCTACAATTGTTGAGGGTGAGCATAGCTTTGACTCTGCAAACTAACAGTTCCAGGGTCTTTTTGAGCAGAGGCACATGTTGTGTGAGTCTCGTGTCCTGGTGAATCTGAATGGAGATAAATAACATCCATCTTTTGTGAGTTTATCATCATGCCTTCATATTTCTTATAGAAACCTTTGAATACTGAATAAGGACATAAGCCCCGCCAATATGGACCAACAGTATGTTCCATCGAACAGGAATAGCTTGGCAGAGTAATCCAAAGACAATGGCAGCTAAATAATTCAAAGCCTAGAAGACATACCACTACCACCTCTGGTTCCTCTTCATAACCTCTTGCTGGCTGATCATCAATGAATTTACCTAAAATGTTCTTGAATATATATTTTACTGATATTAAACAATAGAGTAGCCCTATTTAGCTAAGAGAATTCCTTAAAAATTCACTGTGCAGCCGTGAAGTGGAACTTGCAGTGAGCAGAGATTGCACCACTGCACTCCAGCCTGGGCTACAAAGCGAGACTC